CCCCCCCCCCCCCCCCCCCCCCCAAAGGTGCCCTATCTCTGTGGCACTGCAGCCCCAGCCCCCATCGCCGTCTCCGTTCGGCTCTGTACCCCAACTGTATTTCCCCTGGGCCTGTGTGAGTCCCACAGATTCGCTGTCAGACTGTACATTAGCATTGCAAGGCAAATGAGAATATCGCAAATCATGACTTATTGGTGCCATAGAAACCTGGAAAAGAGTTCTTTTCCACTCACAAATCCCCGCCCCACACCTCTGGGGATGTATAATTTCCCCACAATGCCAAACACAGGCGACTCTTGGGGCAGGTATCACTTGCATCAGTCTTTCCAGCTTCTTATTAATGAGAGAATTAAGCCCTTTTCGGTGTGCGCTTTGTGTTAGAAACCATCTCCGTTGTTACGCTGCGGAGTTCAGCTCTGCCGCTTCCCCTCTGCGGCCCTCAGATTTATTTCATTAACTTTATGAATCCTGTCCTGTCTGGGGGTTTCCAGAGAAGTAAAATATGACGTTGATAAGGTCGCAGAAAGTTCTGGACCCGGAGTGTCGCTGCCAGTGGTGTCGGCACTGGTTTGGCTGGTCGCTGGGCCGCGCCCACGGCGTCGCCATAAGCCAAGCGGGATAATCGCGTTCCGTCCTGCCACAGGGCTTTTCGGGAAGCACTGTCCCCCAACATGTGCTTCCTGTTAGCACGCCTGTGTCCGCTCATACCCCCCCCCCCCCCCATGGAGATAAATGGCCACAGAGTAAGAGTGCGCTCCGACGCGAGTTATTTCTTGTTAATGCAGAACAGGTCTGTGAAAGAGCTGTGGAATGCTCGTAATGTCCAATTGAACCCCCCCCCCCACCTAAATTACGCTGAATTCAGGAGCGAAAGGGAGGTCAGCTTCATGCTGGATTGTTTTAACTCCGTGATGAATGGTCTGCCCTCTGCATGCATGCGTGTGTGTCTGTGTGTGCATGTCCGTGTCCATGTGTATGTATTTGTGTGTGTGNTGTGTGTGTGTGTCTGTGTGTGCATGTCCGTGTCCATGTGTATGTATTTGTGTGTGTGTGTCTGGGTGCAGTGTGTGTATGTGTGTCCATGTCTGTTTCTGTGTGTGTGTGTGCATGCATGTCTGTCTGTGTGTGCATGTGCATGTCTCTGCATGTGTATGTCTGTTTGTCCACGTCTGTGCATGTGCGTGTCTCTGTGTGTGTGTGTCTGTTTGTGCACGTCTGTGCATGTGCGTGTCTCTGCGTGTGTATGTCTGTTTGTGCACGTCTGTGCATGTGCGTGTCTCTGCGTGTGTATGTCTGTTTGTGCACGTCTGTGCATGTGCGTGTCTCT